TTCCTCCACGTGCTCGCGCACCTATCCCTCGCCTTTCGCCGCCACGTCCCCCCCCCATAGGCGTGCCCCGGTTCGCCAGCGGGGACCAGATCCCGGGTGAGGCGGGCGCGCTGCTGGCCAACACATCGGTGTCTACCTTCTCCAGCCTCGGCAACCGCCACCTCCTCCTCTACCTGTGCGTCTGCTGCCGTAGCAACACCACCTCGGCACCGCGGCAACGGACCGTGCCCTGGCTCCGTCCCGTTCCACGACCTCCCTAGCAACGACGCCCTCCTCGCCGCCTTCCGCGCCTCCTTCCGTGGCTTCCTTCTTGCGTGCCACCGCCACCGACACCACGACGGCATCCTCCTCGGCGCAATGGAGATGAAGGGAGGAAGAAATAAAAGGCACCCGCTAAACTTTAGCTAGCTAACTTGACTAAAATTTACAGAAATGCTATACAACACACATGTGTTTTAGCACAAAAAAAAACACATGGATTTTTTTATGTCTCTCCCTCTCTCTTTCTCACCGGTGACCACTGGCGCCGGCGAGCTTGCCCCGGCGCCCGCGCCGCGCCAGCCATGGCAGTGGTGGTGGCGGCGGCGGCGGATTTGTGATTTATCCTTCCATAGAAAAAAAAATTATGATCTGTGATCTGTGATATATGGAGGCTGGAGGTAAAAGAAGGATGGAGGCTGTTAGATCTTAATCCTATGGTGCAAAAAAAATTTATGTATTGAAACTACGTAAAACACATGGTTGTATAGCAGACATACTGTGGATCCGAACAGACCTTAAGCAGTTACAAATCGGGCGTAATCTCTTCCCGACTTCCCGTTCCATGCCTAATTGCCTGATACTTGTATAATATCAAACAGCCAATTTACACCTGATATGCCAAGCAGGCCCAGTGTCCGGGAGCATTTATCTCTCCGGAGACTATTGGTCGCCACGCACTCGCCGCTGTCTCCATGATTGCGTCTGTCTCGCTCTCGCTGCTCCATTCCTGTTCTTTCGCTCCCTCTCCCCACCTTTATCGTCGAATTCTTGTTGTCGCTCATCAGAGTTCTTGTTCGCGACCACTTTCCTCTGCCTGACGCTCTGAGTACTTGGTTAATGGTTCTGTAATCCATCGGCCATCACCAGCTCACCACTCGCCAATCGCCATGTCGGGACAGAGCTCGAGCTCCTATGGTGACACTGACCCTGGCGCGGACAGGGCATCCAGCACCACCTCCAGCAGCATCCGGTGGGCTCCGCACGGCCGCGGCATGACGGCCTGCCTCGTCGTCGTCAACGTCGTGCTCGTCGCCCTCGTCTACCTCTACTTCTGGAGGGTGTTCTCCCGCAAAAGCAGCGCCGCGTCCCTCTCAGCCTCTAACCCCATGGACCACGACGACGACGCGTCGTCCACCGCCTCGACGCCGCCGTCCTCGCCTCCAACGTCCCAGGACCAGCACGACCGCCTCGTGGCGTCGCTGCCGACGTTTGTCGCGCGCTCCGGGTCCGGCGCCGGCGCCGAGTGTGCGGTGTGCATCGCGGAGCTCCGGGACGGCGACGAAGGGCGCGCGCTGCCGCGGTGCGGGCACAGGTTCCACGCGGCGTGCGTCGACTCTTGGCTGCGGCGGCGGCACACCACCTGCCCGCTCTGCCGGGCCTGCGTCGTCGTCGCCGCGGAGGAGGCGGGGCCCAGGGGCAGTGACGTAACGGACACGACGACGGCTGCGGCTCTTGAGGATATGGACGCACCGGTGTAGTCATTACTGATTTGATTGCATTAGTTTTGTTTACTTGTGTGGGAAGCGAAGAAATTAGGACGTCACCTAGCGGTCTTGGGTCAACGGAATTGTAGTAAGGAAGCATTATCTTGTTTGGATGACTCCAAACCAGGAAACTGGTTATGCAAGCTTGATTGGTAAGTTTTTAATTCATCCTATCACAGATATAAGTGTTTAATTTTGTCGTGAGTTAAAAAAGAAAACCAACTTTATCTTGTAATATCGTTAAAAATATGCTATCTTATATTTAAAAAATTCAGTATATATTTTTACTCCGTCGGTCCTTATAATATAGTGCCCGTGCTGTGCTGCTTCATTTAAGGTATGTACATGAAAACAACCGTCGTATACTAGATAAATGAAATGGAAAGAAAAGGTTCATTTTCAGAGAAATATTTAGAATAAACCATGACTTGAGCACGGTACATATATTTAATATAGCAAATAATTCCTATGCATCACAAGGGCAATAACCATTCTGCTCTATATTAATAATTTTCAAATTGTAGAATTGTTAAAACTAAAATTATCACTCTCCAGTCTGCACTGTACTTTGCTAGGAAGACAACATAGATTTCTAAAACCTTTTCAGTTCACCAATAAAACATAGCCACAGCCAAGATGCATCATTGGAGCGTGTCACACATAGATGCAGGAGGAGCATCACAATGTTGGACATCAGATGGGTGGATAAGTCAGGAAAAAATCTAGCTAGTTCCTGTTGCCCCAGATATACAATCCATCAACACAATTTTGGAAAGAAAAATGTTGCTAGTACAGATGAGCTGAAGCGGCACATTGCCTTGGCTAACGCCCTGTTCGCTTGGCTGATAAAACATGGCTGAAAATATCATTGGCTGATTTGTTGTGAGAGAAAAATATTATTCGTTGGCTGAAAAAGTACGGCTTATAAGCCAAGCGAACAGGGCGTAAATGTGCGTAAATGAAAAAGTATTGTTCGTTCGCTTGAACTTATCAGCCGGCTTATTAGCTAAAATCTACAATATTTTTTTCTCGCAATAAAACAGTTTCAGTCGGCAGATGGCTTTAATACCAACCCACTCCCTAAACCGGGGACATGGGAGCGAGGCAAAGACAAAAGGGTATATGAACTGACCAGCAGTCCACTCGGCGACGTGAGGACTGAGGGACAGGGACCAGTGGCGGTCCGCTTGGCAGCTTCCTGGTTTTCCACCCGTCCACCCACAGTAAGGCATCGTCATTGTTCTGCTCCTCTTCCAATCCAATGTGCAGCTCTGAAGCTGCAATTTGAAACAGAAGCAACAATTCAATAGTAGATTGGGGAAGAGTATTGATCTAGTAGACGAATGGAACAACGAACAAAGGACGCTATTGCCAAAAAAAACATTAAATTGCAAATCTAGCCTACCTTATCCCTTAAAAAAATGTGCATCATGTGATCTAAACCATCATAGGCAAATATTGCTAAAAAAATCATAGTAGGGTACATTCGAGTTGACTTTCAAGTTTATCATGCAAATATTTTCCAGCAAGCATATTGCAAGATTGTGACAAATTCTAGTACATAATGCAGTGAGCGCTGCTTATGTAAAATTAAATTGGATTTGTTGTATCCATACAAATGAATTCTACTGCCCCATAGAATGGACGTTAACTAAACCGATGTTGAAGCATGTGTCATACTTTTCAGAAAAAATAAAGCTTACCGGATCATGGATGTAAATATATCTGTCTTGATTTGCATTTGCAATTCTTAAGTCTCTACCTAAAGTCAAAATTAATTATTAGACTAGAACCAAAAAAGGATTGAGCAAAGAGCAGGGATACAAGCACACGACACTCACAAATTCATGGGGACATGAAAAATTCTGTTGACCTCTTGGTGACCAAACTCGCAGCATCGGCTCTATTTGCCTTGCAAGACGTATTTTCTTCAACACATACCTGCAGTAGCAAAGCAAAAAGCTGTCGGCTACGCAAATTCATGGGGAAACAGACTCAGTAACTAAACTGAACCAACGCATCACACTTCTTTTTCTTTGTCCTGTGGTTGACGAGGATGGCAGCACCAAAGGCGCCCGACCAATCTGCTCCATAACCTCCTACTGATCCATTCGTGACTCCATGGCTCCCAATCCACACAACACAGCTGCTAAAACTCCAAAGCAGCAACACGCGCTTGCAAAACTTCAGTCTCTAATACCAAAGCCTCTAGCATCTCCCGTACACACCACAACTCCAATCAGTCCCGTACCCTCGGCAATTTCTACAAATGTGCCGATAAATTAGTGGTTGGAGGGAGGTAATTTACCTGCAGTCTTACTTCGTGTCGCCCTAGAGCAGATCTGCACAGAAGAGGACAATCACCACACTGAGATGTAAATAGCAGTAGCAGAAAAGAGCAGTTCAAGAATTGAGTTTTGAACTTGCATAAATTACAAAATATTTTAGTATGGGTACTGATTAATCTTTTAACCAGATGACTAGAAACTACAAGTTCCATGATAACAGCATTAGCTGAGATGCATAATATAGAAAATATAAAGCTTTGTAGTGTACAAGTGGTTCATGTATAACACTATCTTAAGTCTTAATACCTATAACCAGGCTAAAAAACTTGTGCTGCCACTCTTTGCCTTTCACTGGTTAGCACCCACCAACAAGGCTTGTAGGTCCGAATATCACGGGCTGGTGTTGGTGTTTCCAGGGACGGAGCTAACGGCAGGGCAGGGCGGGCTCGAGCCCCTCCTACGGCTCCCAGGCACGTGGAGCCCCCCTAAAAATTTCACGTATATATGTATAGAATAGGAGGGGCTAATATGTTTTGGGCCCAATTTTAGGAGAGGCTGATATGTTTTGGGCCCAATTTTATAGAGAATAGGGCATTATTAAGTCAAATCCCAAGGCCCAGTAGCCAATAGTGAATAGTGAAAGAAGGTAAGAAACCCTATTAATCCCACATTCCCACCATAACCCCTGCCCTTCCCCCGATAGCCGTCGCGAGCCTCCTGTCCCCTACCCCAAACGGACGGCGGCGGAAATCGTAACCCCTGCCCTTCCCCCGATAGCCGTCGCGAGCCTCCCGTCCCCGACCCCAAACGGATGGCGGCGGCTTCCCTATTCCCTAGTTCTACCGGTGACCGGTCTACCCCGACTCCCCAGTCCCCACACCACGAGGACGGACAGCGGCGGGCAGCAAGCGGACCGCTGCTGCTGTGCAGTCTTGAGCCTTGAGCAGCCCAGCAATCACCCAGGCGCATGGCGCAAGCAGGCAGCGCCGGGCTCAGGGGACGACGGTGGCACGTGGAGCAGCAATTGAGCAGACATCGGTGATTTTTCAATTTTAACTATGAATGTGAGACCAGGAGTCTGTGATTGAAAGGTTGAATGTTTGATTCATGATAGATTTCAATTTTTAGTTTTTTAGTGTGTCAAAAAGAACTTTGTGCAATTACTATTCAAGTTCAAGTGGCAGCGGCTCAACTGCACATACTAATGAGAGCACAAATCAACCCAAGAAACCTAGGGAAGAGTTTAGTCATTCAAACCTAATTGCTGACCCTCAAAAGCGCAAACCAATCGATTCTTATGAACCAGAAATTAGAGACCAAGTAAAGAGAGCATATGCTTTAAGTGGTCCAACCCAACCTCATGAATTTCCATTTCCTCGTAAATGTATGGGTGGTGAATGGAGATCATTTCAAAAGACTTGGTTTGATGAATTTGATTGGCTAGAGTATAGTGAGTCCAAGGATGCTGCTTATTGCTTATATTGCTATCTCTTCTTCAATTCGGCAAAGGCTGAAAAATTTGGAAGTACTATCTTTGCACATCAAGGTTATGTGAATTGGAAGAACGCTAAGGATACTTTTCATAAGCACGGTGTTTGCACGACTCATGCAAAGGCTAGACTGAAGTGTGACGACTTTATGAACCAAAGGACAAGTGTTGGTCGAAAATTAGTTGAGGTGAGCATAGAGGAAGAAAAACAATATGAGATTCGTTTGACATCTTTAGATGTTGCAAGATTTCTCATATCGCAAGGGGAACCTTTTCGTGGAGATGATGAGAGTTCTACTTCTCTCAACAAGGGTACATTTAGAGAGATGGTTGACTGGTATAAAGATAAGGTAGATATAGTGAAGGACGCATATGACAAAGGTTCTAAAAAATGCCAGATGGTATCTCCTAATATACAAAAGGATCTTGCAAAAGCTTGTGCAGAGGAAATCACAACTGCCATTATGGATGAGATTCGAGGTAGAAAATTCTCGATGCTTATTGATGAGTCTAGAGATGTATCAATAAAAGAGCAAATGGCAGTGATTCTAAGGTTAGTACTCCACAATTGCAATTTGTGCATAGATTTTATTATAATTATTTCTACAATTATACTAACACATAAACAAATGTGTCGTGCAGGTTTGTGAATGATAAAGGGCAAGTGGTGGAGAGATTTCTTGGACTTCAGCATGTTCAGAGTTGTACAGCTATTGCATTGAAAGAAGCTTTGGTCAGTATGCTTTCAAGTCACAATTTGTCTATCTCTATGCTTCGTGGGCAAGGGTATGATGGAGATTCTAATATGAGAGGTGAATTTAATGGGGTGCATAAATTGATTTCTTGATGAAAATCCTTATGCTTTCTATGTGCATTGTTTTGCCCATCAATTGCAACTAGTGATTGTTACTGTTTCGACTTCTAGTGCAGACATTGCAGATTTCTTTAACTATGTTCCTTTAATAGTCAGCAATGTGGGTGCATCTTGTATGAGAAAAGATGCCTTGCTTGCAAAGCATTATGATATGTTGTTAGAAAAGATTGAGAAGGGTGAGATTATGACTGAAAGAGGTTTAAATCAAGAAAGTAGCCTAGCTAGGCCAGGAGATACTAGATGGGGTTCACATCTTAAAACTTTGCTTTGTATTTTGGTGATGTGGGAGGCTATCATAGATGTGCTTGAGATAGTGAAGAAAGATTCCATTAAACCAACAAATAATGGTGGAGCTTTAGGTTTAATTGGAAAAATAGAGAACTTTAATTTTGTGTTCATCCTGCATTTGATGATAGAATTGTTGAGCATGATAGATATTTTGTCACGTGCTTTGTAAAGGAAGGATCAAGACATAGTTGAAGCAATGCATTTGATCATGGATGTGAAAGATAGCTTGCAGGATATGAGGGAAAATGGATGGGAGCCATTACTCAAAAAAGTGAAAACATTCTATGAGAAGAATGAGATTGAAGTGCAAGATATAGATAAGGAAATAAATGTTAGAGGTACATCTAGATGAAGAAAACAAAAGGTAACAAATATGCATTACTATCATGTTGAGATTTTTCTTGTCGCCATTGATGCCATCTTGACTGAGCTGAATCGTCGGTTCAGTGAAATTAGTTCAGAGTTATTAGTATGCATGGCTGCTTTTAACCCAAGGAACTCCTTATCTAATTTTGATGTGGACAAACTTGTGAGGCTTGCTAAAATTTATGCCGAGGATTTTGATATTGGTGAGCTTGCTGTTTTGCCCAGCCATCTTAGACAGTTTGTCAACCGTGCTAGAAGAACTCTAGAATTTCTTGGATGCAATAAACTTGGAAAAGTTGCTGAAATTATGATCAAGACTAATATGAACACATCTTATAAATTGGTTTATCGTCTCATTGAGCTAATCTTGATACTACCGGTGGCAACGGCTTTAGTTGAGAGGATATTTTTAGCCATGTCTATTATAAAGACAAATTTACGTAGTAAAATGGGTGATGGATGGCTCAATGACTTGATGATATGCTATAGTGAGAAAAGATATTTAGAAAGATCGATAATGAAAAGATCAAAAAGTGGTTTCAAGAGATGAAAAAGCATCGGATGTTATTGCCTAACAAATTAGTAGTACGATCTATTATCTTCTAAATTCATAATTTGGAGGTCCATATATATGTTTGACTAATCAATTTTGTCTATCTCCGTAGATTGCTACTTCGAATGAATAATGTGTCAACATTAGGAGCCGTTTATTAGCTTCGTAATTGGACCTTTTGATACGAATGAACTGCATCCTTTATTTTTCATGATGTACTTTGTGAACTTCATCGTTAATCAATGTTTCAAATATAAGATTAATTTAAGCTATTATATATTTGTTTATTGTGAGTGGTGATAGTAGAGCTAAGTAATTGTAGAACTTTTGTTCAGCCTCTCCTAAATTTTTTTCTGGCTTCGTCCCTAGGTGTTTCTGCTCATGAGCAAATGCATCCCCGTCCTAAAAAAGTGGAAATGAATATCACGGGCTTCTGTGTACGTGCAGAGTCTACTTGAAACAACAATGTGTCAAAATATACGAAGGTAAAGCACTGACACTAGAAGTAGCTTTTAGACTTTTACACCTTTTCAACAGCAAGGCAATCATGAGACAGCACACATTCGGTTGACATTTAACAAATGCTACGTAGAAAATTGAGAAACACAGTTGATCTATATGAAATTACAGTACTTATCACAGAATTTATCATAAGGACGGTTCCAAGTTGAAAATTTTACATTATATAGCTAACTACATCGTATCCAAATTGCCTATTTTTTATACAGCTAGAACCATTCCTTCTTCGTTCTTTCTTTCTTATAGGATTACAATTTACTGCATGCTGGCACGGAGCTGCCAGGTTCCTCACCCAACCATCTCCAATTAGTAGACTAACCAATCAAGATACAAGAACAAACACATACCTCTCGGCGTCCGGTCAGGGCGAGGCCTCGACAGTGGGATCTCCAGGGCCGATGCGGAGACGTCCTCTTGTAGCGTTGATTGTCGATGGTAGTTAACAGACATTATAAACCGTCAATATAACTTGTATAAATGTATGAAAATAATCACCAACAAAGGTTTAGGGGTTTAAACTAACAAATTCCACGAGTTTTGGTGAATCTGTATTATCTGCAGGATTTATCCAGAAACCCATCAAGGTGGACCTAGATATCAGACTTAATCGTGATTATCTGCGGGATAAACAACTCTAGAAGGTTCCAGAGGACACCACACCGAAGCGGAGGGTGAGAGGCCGCTAGGTGGGGCTGGCCGGTCTGGGGGCCCCACCTGTCAGCCCCTCCACCTCACTACGTCGGTTCTCCACCTCCTTAAGGATTGCATCTACGCCGTTTATTCAAGTCGGTTTGATCCGAGGGCTCAGGATTGACGCTCCGGCCTATATATACCAGCCCCTGCCACCCCCAGGCATCAAATCCATAAATGCTTGTCGGTATTTATTAACTTGTCACTTATTTTAGTAGTCACCTAATATATGTCTACATCTCTTAACATTACTTTACCATGTTGTCATCCCTAGTGATAATGTCAGAAATGCTTGTTGGTACTACCTAATATTACTAATAGAGTAGTTCTTTATTATTTTATGTGACTAGAAAAGAATGTGTGTGTCTATATATATATATATGAATGAAAGTAATCTGCAAGCACATAGATAATTATATCATTGTAACACTTCACCCAGGAGTATTCCAGGTATTGTTATTTATATTTTTATCTCAGGAAAGGTCTAACGAGGACATGTATTGATAACTTATATTATTGATGGAGAAGTAAACCATAACCAATATTTCACTCACAACAGGGGTAAGTCAAGAGGTACATGTATATATGAGTAGTGCATAATAATTAATCATTGATCACTCAGAATACTCCTTTCTATGGCATTAGTATGGTTAAGTAGAATATTAGAGGAATAATTTCTAAGCCATTCTTAATTATAAGTCAAAGCATACATTGATTAGTGCAATTACACCTAGTAATCATGGCTAAGATCAACTTCATATCTACACATAAGGGATATTACTGAGGAAGATTAAGAACAGAGCTTGTCTTACTTCGTAACTAAATCCTACTTGTAGACCTATATTTGGGGAGTGGACTACAAAGGACTCAACGGGAGTGTCACATCCGCGATCTACCACATGGCCCGAAATATAGGGTGTATCCGCAGGCAAACAACGTATAAGCACCACGCTGACACAATATCGACCACTCACCCCGTGTACTTTGGAGCAAGCGCTATACGAACTTATGCATAAACATGATGATAATCTAAATATACTAAGCATATAATCAAAGTAGACAATAAACATTACAACTAGGAATATGATAAATATGAAGATGAATGTCATAACAATTGTAGCAAACATATAAAAGTAATGTATACCAAATCACGCTCTTGACACGATCGGGAATCCAAGCGAAACCTGCTTGCCTCCCTCTAGACCTAGCCTAACTTGCTATGTCCTAGAATATAGTTGAGCTCTGAGGATGATTAGGGTTTCTGTCGTCTCAAATGACTTATCACTGACCAATAGCAGCAGCACTAGCAGCGACCTTGGTAGTTCCACGACCATGTAGTAAAAATTTCATACGCTCGGGTTGTGGTACCATCTCTGGATCCAAGCCCGCGCCACCGCCACCACCTACGGCCTCTTAAACCCTAGCGTTCGCCACCACCTGTGGCCCCCACCGCCTTCTCGTGTCTGGAGCCCACGCGTTCCGTGACCCGCGGCCTCCGTCATGTTCTCGTGGCTTGAGCACGCACGACAACCGCCGCCGCCCGCGGTCTCCCTAGTCCGTGCGGCCGCCGCATTCTAGGCACGGCCGTACGATGTGCCTCGGGGAAGAGCGCCTCATTGGATCTATGCCTCTACGCCTCGCTGGATCGCGGCCGGCTCCCTAGTACCCTGGAGGCCAGCGCACTGGCAGCCAGCAATCAAATTAGATCCGAGCACAAATAGCGAGAATGGAAGACCAACGGGCCGAAGTACCTGATGGTGATGGCGCCGCGTGACCTTGGAGGGGCGACCGCCCGGGCCGCCGTGGGGGGGGGAGGGTAGCTCACAAGCCGTCGAGGAAGACAGAGAGAGGCTGGAGGAGCTCTGCTACCGCCGGCTGGAGGAGATGCCAGCGCGGCTTCTATCCACGAGCACGCTCGCCTCTCGCGTCGCATGACAACGGTAGGAGAGGGCGTTGTTTCAAATTTTTCAAAAAATATGCAGGGAATAGGAATCGAACCGTGGTCGCATGCCGCGAGCATAGGGGCTTGGGGTGGAGGGATGAGGAGTCGTGCATACTAGGATGACGAGTACCATACACGCCATCCTGGCCGTCAGATGTGAGGGAGTAAGGAGAGAGAACGGTGAGAAGCAATCTGGATGGTTCATTTGTAATAGGTTGCTTTTCTACGTTCACTTTGTGAGGTGCGTGAAGGAGGACCATCTCATCGTGGGTGTTCTTTTGGTGGACTTAGCATAGAAAAAGATGGTGCTTTAATAGAGTAGATTTAATTGTCGGTATGAGAAGCGTAGTGGTCAAATTTTCTTAAGTTTAACAAAGTTTATAGAAAATATTCGGAACATTTGTATCTCCAAATAAGTTTATTATGAAATAGATTTAATGATCTATCTAATGATATTAATTATGTTTTATAAATATTAGTATTTTTTGTATATATTTAGTCAAAGTTCAATAAGTTTGACTTTTCAAGAAGCGATAACGATAGTAAAAAAGGATGGATAGAGTATGTTCCAAGAAGATAGCTTTAGCTTTGATCTTTTTTTATACTAGTTTTATCTTTGATCTAATCTAACATTTATATCTTTGACCATTAGTTTTTTTTCATTTCTCATAGTTTAAGGGTAAATTTCTTGAAGTGAATCTTGAACCATAAATTTTATAATGCTAAACAATACGAATTTTGAGAGCAATAACCTTCGTCAAAGGAAAGGAGTGTTATGAAAGCATTTTTAATAATTAATCAAATAGTGTAAATTTTGTGAAGTGAATCTAGGATAAAATAGTACCACATATATTCTAAATTATAAGGCATTTTGATTTTTTCTACATACATTATTTTTTACTATATATCTAAGACACCTTTTATATCTAAATGCATAGCAAAAATTATATATCTAGTGTTGACATCGGATGGGTTCCAGATCACACACCAGCAATTGCTAGCACGCCCAAGGGGTTGCAAACAACCCACGATACAGCAAGAACGCAACAGGATCGACGAAACCGATCTAGAGACCGGTTAGACTGATTTTGAGCCCATTCTTTGCATTGAAAACTCCTGAACACTTCCCGAGGAGATGACGGACGAACAACAAGGTAGAGAGAGGAGAGGGTAAAAGGGGTTTGTAGATATGTTTTTGACCATTGACTGTTGTATCCTTTAATCGGTCACGATCCTCTCATATATAGAAAGGGTATGGTCATATTCCAACAAAAAAACAAGC